CGGTCAAAAAGGCAAATAGGATGCTAGGAATTATTAGGAAAGGGATAGGAAATAAGACACAGAATATCTTACTGCCCCTGTATAAAACTATGGTACGCCCACATCCTGAATACTGTGTACAGATGTGGTCTCCTCACCTCAGAAAAGATATTTTGGCCTTGGAAAGGGTTCAGAAAAGGGCAACTAAAATGATTAGGGGTTTGGAGCGGGTCCCATATGAGGAGCGGTTAAAGCAACTGGGACTTTGCAGTTTAGAAAAGAGGAGACTGAGGGGGGATATGATAGAGGTATATAAAATCATGAGTGGTGTGGAGAGGGCCGATAAAGAAAAGTTATTTATTAGTTCCCATAATAGAAGAACTAGAGGACACCAAATGAAATTAATGGGTAGCAGGTTTTAAATGAATAAAAGAAAGTTCTTCTTCACACAGCGTGTAGTCCACCTGTGGAGCTCCTTGCCAGAGGAGGTTGTGAAGGCTAGGACTATAACAGAGTTTAAAGAGAAGCTAGATAATTTCATGGAGGTTAGGTCCATAAAAGTCTATTAGCCAGGGGATAAAATGGTGTCCTTGGCCTCTGTCTGTCAGAGGCTGGAGAGAGATGGCAGGAGACAAATTCCTCGATCATTGTCTTCGGTCCACCCTCTCTGGGGCACCTGGTGCTGTATACTGTCAGTAGACAGGATACTGGGCTAGAAGGACTTTTGGTCTGACCCAGTACGGCCGTTCTTATGTTCTTATAAGGAGGATTCTGAAAAGTACAGGAAGAGAGCAGGCAGAGGCCACCTGGCTGCAGGGGAGACTCAGACGTGCTGGGCTGAGTGAGGCTAGGCCAAGAGGCCTGAAATCCTTTGTTCCATTCAAAGCTCAATAAAACCCTCCTGTTTTGTGTTGGCTGAGTTTTGCTCTGGCCTGGAGAACAGGGTTGCACTATTCCCTCTGGGAGTGGAGGCCTTGGAGGTCCAGAGAGAGCTGATACCTCCGCTCCCCGAGGGGGCTTACGGCAGAGACAGGTGTGCTAAAGGCTCTGAGAGGTGCTGTCCTGGAGGCAGAAGGGTGGACCCCCTAGAAGAGAGTGGACTCCCCAAGAAGGGGCTGTCGCACTGGAGTGGACTCCCTGAGAAAGGGCTGTCGCAATGAAGAGGGGTTCCACCCGGGGACTGACAGGCCAAGTGTGGGCATAACCTGTGGGACAGTGAACGAAATAAAACTCACTTCGCTTATGGATGGAAAATCTTGGAGGGTACACTGGCTGTGGCACTTGCATTCAGGAGGCTGACAAGAACAAAATAGCTCAGACTTACCAATCTCCTTCAGCTCCACCTCAGGATCCACACTCTCAGCCAGCAGTTCATTGATTTTGTGGACAATCCAACCAAACACCCGGCCATATGCCTTTTTAGCAATGGAGTCCCGGGCATCTGAAGAGTCATACAGTAAAGAAATATAGTCACCTAGCCGCAACTGCGCCTGGCCCTAGAAGAACTTCTGAGCTTCCCACTAGGCCTCCTAAAGGCCCTTGTGGTGGGACTTTCCCCCACCTGGGTGCCCAAGAGACCTAGTGGCTCCAGACAGAGAAGACAGGACAACATTGTGATATGCTAACCAGGGAATGTGGAGTTTGGGCTATTTCTTTGCACCCTCCCATGTAATTAATTCTCCAATGTGGATTATAGAGTTCTGTTTAGACTGTAGCTACCTATCCATAACAAGATGGATTTTGACCCCCTCCTACCTCTTAAGATTTCTGGGGAAGAACATTTCCACTCAACTCAGACTGCTCATGAGCCCTCCTACCAGAGCGCAGTCTTAGAGATAATATGTTCAGGAGACCATATAAAATGGAAGATCTTTGATGAGGAGTATAACCTAAGATATTTGGCATATAAACTCCCTTCACCCTTCTGTGACCGAGGATGATGCACTTTTTCTGTATACAAGCACAAGTCCATGCAGCTGGATCTAACATGGCCGAGGGTGCTGAGAGAGTTGGCTGATGCATTACCCATCAGCTCTGTGTTCTTGGGGGACCAGGCTACAGTATCCAGCTTATTTTACTCACGAAAGACCTCATGCCCCCAGCTGCTGCTTTAACCAAAACCCATCAGCAGAAAGACTTACAAAAAGCATTGAAAAGGTGGGGGAAGGCACACCTAAACTCCTCTGTACAAGGGTCACAGGGTTATGAAAACTCCTCTAGACTTATGCATCAAAGATTGGAAGGGGGGGGGAGTGGAATCTCCATTAGCATACAGAATTAAGAACAGAGATTCCAAAGCAAAAAGCATACTGAACTCTGGGATGAGGAAAGCACTGAATGAGGGGAAATCTCTGTTCCAAGTGTTAACAGCTGGACACCCCCCACCCCCGCTCAGTACTTATCAGACCAATTCTAGAAAATCCTCTATTGGTATCCAAAATACTGAAGCTGCCTAATAATGATGAGCTCACTCAAAGGAACAGTCCATAACCAGGAATGATCAATTCTTATGGTCTAGTCTGAAAAAAACAACTTTTTATACTCATAAGAACAGCCAAACAGGGTAACACCAAAGGTCCATGTAGCCCAGTATCCTGTCTTCTGACAATGGCCAATGCCAGGTACCCCAGAGGGAATGAACAGAACAGGGAATCATCAAGTGATCCCTCCCCGTTGTCACCCACTCCCAGCTTTTGACAAACAGAGGCTAGGGCAACAAAAATGATTAAGTGTTTGGAATGGCTGCCATGTAAAGAGAGATTAAAAAAACTGGGACTTTTCTGCTTAGAAAAGATGAGACTAAGAAGAGATATGATAGAGGTCTATACAATAATGACTGGTGTGGAGAAAGTAAATAAGGAAAAGTTATTTACTTGCTCCCATAACACAAGAACTAGGAGTCACCAAATGAAACGAATAGGTAGCAGGTTTAAAACAAACAAAAGGAAGCATTTCTTCACACAATACACAGTCAGCCTGTGGGACTCCTTGCCAAAGAATGTTATGAAGGCCAGGTCTTTAACAGGATTCGAAAGAGATCTAGATAAATCCATGGAGGATATGTCCATCAGTGACTATTATCTTAGGATGGGCAGGAATGGTGTCCCTGGCTTCTGTTTGTCAGAAGCTGGGAAATGGCGACCAGGGATGGATCACTTGATGATTACCTGTTCTGCTCCTGCCTTCTGGGTGACCTGGCACCTCAGAAGACAGGATACTAGGCTAGATGGACCTTTGGTCTGATCTAATATGGCCATTCTTATATTCCTATGTTCTTATATTTAATACCATTATAAATGCTGGAAGCAAAGTGGAGTTTGGGGTGGAGGCTGACAGCTTGTGACCCCAATGTAATAACCTCATGATTCCCTGACTTCCAGTTGAGAACCCTGGGCCAACCTGGTCAGGGATGCAAACCCATGCTGTGGTTATCCTTAGCCTCTAAGGGTGTGTCTAGACTACAGGTTTTTGTTTTTTTTTTAAAGTGGCCTTTTTTCAAAAAAACTTCCCCTGCATCTAGACTGCTGCCGTGTTCTTTCGAAAGCAAATCGAAAGAATGCAGCAGTTCTTTCAACCGTGGAAAACCTCGTTTTACAAGGAATAATGCCTTTTTTCGAAAGCGCTTTCAAAAAAAGGCCCTACGTAATGCAAACTGTGCTTTTTCAAAAGAGAACATCCAGACTGCCTGGGTGCTCTCTTTCGAAAAAGCGGCTTGCTTTTTCAAAAGTACTGGTTGTAGTCTAGATGCTCTTTTTCGAAAGAGGCTTTTTTGAAAGTATCTTTTGAAAAAGACTCTTTTGAAAGAGGCCTGCAGTCTAGACGTAGACTAACTGCCAGAAGCTTGGACAACAAGGGATGGATCATTCAGTAGCTGCCCTATTACAGGGCTAGGGAAGATGCAGGATCCGGCCCACAGACTGAATCTGGCCAATTTCTATTTATATCCTGGTGCCCATGCTGCCAAATTTCCAGGTGTTGTCTCAGGCAGCAGGATTCTGCATTGGTGAGGCCACATCTGGAATACTGCATCCAGTTCTGGGCCCCGCACGATAGAAAGGATGTGAAAGCATTGGATAGGGTCCAGTGGAGAGCAACCAAAATGACTAGGGGGCTAGAGCACATGATCTACAAGGAGAGGCTGAGGGATTTGGGTTTATTTAGTCTGATTTCATAGCAGCCTTCAACTTCCTGAAGGGTGGTTCCAGAGAAGATGGAAAGAGGCTGTTTTCAGTGATGACAGATGGCAGAACAAGGAGCAGTGGTCTCAAGTTACAGTGGGGGAGGTCTATGTTGGATATTAGGAAAAACTACTTCACTAGGAGGGTGAGGCACTGGAATGGGTTCCCTAGGGAGGGGGTGAAATCTCCATCCCTAGAGGTTTTTAGGTCCTGGCTTGACAAAGCCCTGGCTGGGATGACTGAGTTTGGATTGGTCCTGCTTTGGGAAGGGGGCTGGGCTTGGTGACCTCTTGAGGTCTCTTACAGCCCTAGACTTCTATGATTCTATGATCCTATTTAAATGGCTTTGGCTGTAGCACTACCCCAGTAGGGGCCGGAGCCACAAGCCCCTTAAATAGCCACAGCAACCGAGGACAGCTGCCAGAAAATGTGGTAGCGGCGGGGGCAGGAGCACCAAGCCCTTTGCTACGTTTTAAACTCAAAGCCTCTGGTCCCAGACAACTCTTTCGGGGGGCTTGTCCCTATCCCCACTCCTTCCGCTCCACACCCCACCCCTTACAGTAGGTAGAGCTGACCTGTGACCAAAATTCATTAAGTGGCCTCCTTACAAAAATTGTTGCTCACCCATGCCCTATTCTGTCCATTCCCTCTGAAAAGCTTGACACAGGCCAGAGTCAGAATCTGAAGACTGAATAGTAGATGAGAATCTGACCCAGTATGGCTGTTTTTATGGTTCCCCGTCATCCAGCTGCTGATCTTAATCAAGACAGGGAGCTGGTGCAGACATACAGGAGGTAGGTGTCTGACATACAGGACAGGCAGAGCTGGGTGCTGACTATGTACTGCTGACACTGTAGCTTTCATTGTCCCCTCTGTTCTCCTTAAAGCAATATACCAATTTTGAATATCATGGCAGACCCCAGAGTTGAGTGCTTTGTGGGTGACAGTTGTTCAGGACAAACTCCTCTGCTGTATCTGAGCCATTTCAGGTCTTTCCTGCAGAGGCCTATATAAGAACATTCTTATGTTCTTATTTTTTCAGGTCTTTTCTGCAAAGGACTACAGGGATGAAAGGAAAGGAAAGATATGACAGGCCCTCACCTCCTGCTACCAACAGGGGCTGCTATAGCTGGGCTGGAGCACACCTGCCCACAGCAAGCTCCACAGGGCGGGAGCAGCCTCCCTACCCCCAGTGGGCGGGGAGCCGCACCAGCCCACACTGGTTAACTGGAACCAGTACTCCTCACAGATTAAGGATGAGATTTACTGTTTAACCATTCACATCCCTAGTGTGTACAGCACTAACACTTAAAGCCCCCCCTCAGGCCGAGAGGACATTAAAAGAGGACTGCACAAACATGTAAGGAGACATAATCCCTGCTCCAGAGAGCTTACATATATTGTTGGATCACAGATATGATCAGGGCTCGACAATTAGGGCAATCTACTCGCCCATGGTGAGTAGATTTTAGCCCGGTGCAGCTGCGCAGTGCGGTCAGCGTATGTGCAGCGCAGTCTGCGCATGCGCAGCACACCGAACTGCGTGGCATAGATGTGCCTAGAAGAGCTCTTCCAGACAGCTTTTCTGATCGACCTCCTCTGCCCCTTACCCTCTGCCTGCTGCTGTGTGTGGAAACGTTGAATCTGCTCTCCCCGGGTTACGGACACTTTACAAATGAGGCATTTCAATAGCTCCTCTTCCTGAACTCCAAATTGACCCTGGAGAGAAGGGACCAGAGACAAGTCAGTTTCAATCCCTCGTTCCCTTGTGCAGTGGCAATGTCTCCATGCCTCTGGGTGGCACCCAGTACAATAGGGCCATAATCCAGACTGGGGCCTCTGGACACTACTGTATTGTAAATAATGAGAGAACATTGCAGGAATCAAGCCACAAACTCTGAAGTTACCACTCTCCCCAAGACCAGTTTTCTTGCTCTGTGTCAAACACAAAGCTCTCTCCCTCATGTGCCCCCCCCCCCCCTTTTCCCCTCCCCCTGCCTCCCTCTCCCTCACACACACACTCTTCCCAGCAAGAGCCACACTTACCTCCAATTACTTATATAATACATTATTATATAAGTATACATTATTAATTGTCTGAGATGAAAGCTCTGTCAGGGGAGGAAGAGAAGCTTAAAATATGATGCTATGACTCCTGGTTACCACAGAACCAAAGTGCTCTCCAAAGGTAGAAAGAGACAGCATTGAAATTTCTCTTCCTATGCTATTGGCAAGAGCAAACTGAGGTGAAATTTGCTTGTTTTCAGGGATTTTTTTGTATGTTTGTTTTAAAATATAAAGCACGAGCTTGGTTGTAGAGGTGTGGCTTTTACTTAGTTTCACCTACAATAAGGTGCATTTCAGTCTGATTTCAACAGACAGTGATTTCAACAGCCAGTAAATTCCATAGTCAGAACCCAGCTCTATGATGTTTCCATCTCCTGCATTCACAAGTCTGCCATAGAGAAGGGCAGCTCTGTGGTTCCAGTGGAATGTAGCTATTGTGGAAAGTTATGGAGAGAGGGCATCTCCGCATAGCCAATGATTTTATTTCATTTATTGTCTCATGTTATGACTAACTAGTGTAGAAACCATTTTCATATTTAGCTAGAAGCCATCTTGTAGAACAGAAACCATTTCAGCTTCTTGCTTCTGCACGTATACCAGAGTGAACTTTCTGTCACCCCATGTGAGAGGCCTAAAGGATGAGCTATTGGAATGTGTTAATTGAACTGTTTGAGAGGGGAGCGCTCACTCCCTGTTGCCTGTCCCCCTTTCTTGCTGATAACAGTTTGCCTTTTAAGTTTAATTGATGATTTCTGTAATTGGATGCCCTGACATCAGACTTGTTTGGTTAAGGGTATAAAGATACTAGGATTGATTGTATTAGCCAGCCTTACTGGGCCCGGCTCTGCTGGGACCACGTGTGGCTCACTTTGTGCCTTATTGATCAATAAAGCTTTTTGTTAGTCGCCTAACCATATGGAAGCTTGGCTTTTGCTTCAACACTAGCAAGTCATGTTGTACATAATTATTGTATGCTAACTAAACTGAAGTGATAGGATTATAAAAGTGATTAGTAGTTAGACTATGCTAAAGTGTTGAAAGAGGATATGCAAATTCCGTGGGAATTTGCGTATCTTCTTCCGA